TCTCCGACCACCACCACCGTCGCCTTCGATCGGTCGCCATATTTCTTTTGCCCTGCGTTTATTATACTACCCCCGAAAACGACCTTCTCTCCAGGCTATCCAATCAGGTAGGGGTGAGAATTCCCTGGACGGAAGTCCCCCCCCCCCTCTCTCTCTCTCTCTCTTTCTCTCTCGTTCTACGATTTCTCGACACTCTTCTCTCGATAAGCCTTTATCGGTTTACGCACTTTTTTTCTTCTTCTTCTTCTTCTTCTTCTTTAACGTACTAGTTTCCTTTTGTCTTTCTTTCTTTCTTTCTTTCTTTCTTTCTTTCTTTCTTTCTTTCTTTCTTTCTTTCCTTTTTTCCTTTTTTCCTTCTTTCTTCATCGATAAGAATTTGCTCGGGAAAAATCCATATAGACTTGGCTTTAACCTGTATAAAGAAATAAAATATAGATAGAGAAAGAGAACTATTTAATACTTTGATAAGCACGCCTTTCACGTGCTTTGACTATAACAGTTTTTCTCCTTCTTTTTCCTCCCCATCCCCGTTTTTTCCATTTTTTTGTTACTTTTTCTTTTTTGTTGTTTTCAGAGCACGGCATCTACGAGATATTTTCCCTTGATTCTCCACCTACTCACTATTTCTATTTCTCTCTCTCTCTCTCTCTCTTTCTCTCTCTCTCTCTTGCCCTATGCAACCCCTTATACCAACCTCTTTATTTCTCTCTTGCTCTACACAACCCCTTACATCAACCCCTCTTTCTCTTTCTCTCTCTCTCTCTCTCTCTATATGCGCATCTACTACACCTGTGGTCTTTTCTACCACTCTATCTTTGTATTCCCTTTCCACGAACTATGTATTTCCCTTCTTCGCTACTCAAGCTCTCCGCCAGAGCTTTGTAAAAGGACTCGTTCATGCGAACCCTTTTGTTACTTTTCAAGATACAATTATGTGAATATCTGTTACACGTACATACGTCCGTACATGTATATATATATATATGTGTGTGTGTGTGTATATGTATATATATACATATGTAAAAAGGTAGGTAGGTATAGGTAGGTTGGTAGGTACGTAGGTACAATGTGACTCCGTCCTACGTGCATAGTTTTTAATTATTAAACATGTTAAGCGGCACCTTGTCGAAACGTACTTACATACTAATTTTCTATCTTTCAGTAAAATTTTAATTAATATGTTCTCAACATTGCATACGTGAGTACGAGAAAATGACTCTAAAAAAGGAATTCTAAATATAATACGTATATATCTCTTTTGGATACATTTTTAATATATAATATATATTATATATTAATATATAACATATTAAATAACAAACTTACCTAAATTTAAGGATTTTTGGAAGAATAAGGAATTCTCGTGGGATTATAAAATAGGCAGGATTAGTTCTTCGTCGAGCAGGATAATCTAAAAAAGAAAGAAAGAAAGAAAGAAAGAAAGAAAAAAAAAGAAAGAAAGAAAAAAAGGGAAAGAAAGAAAATTAAATCTATTGTTAAAAAAAAAAAACGTGTAGGTACATGCATCGTATCGTGCACATTAATTTTACTTCTAACACTAACTTGGATCTGAAAAACGAATATGCCTCACAATGGGACAGATGCAATAAATTATCTTTGGGAACTTCTGAATTCGATGATGTCTTTTTTCTTCGTCTTTTTTTCTTTTTGTTTTTTTTTTGTCTTTTTTTTGTCTTTTTTTTTTTTTTTTTTTTTTTTATTCTGTATCAAGGTCAATAACTCGAAATGGTATTTTTAATAGACGACCATGTTTCCTCGATCGGTGCCAAGACGACGACGGTAATTAAAATTGCAAGGAAAGCGATGATTACGACGACGTAAATGCCAAGAATAAGTTTTCTCAGGCCAGCTCGCTAAAACAGAGAGAGAATAACAGCTGTTAAGATAAATTATTTCTTTCTCTCTCTCTCTCTCTCTCTCTCTCTCTCTCTCTCTCTCTCTCTCTCGAGTATATTAGTAGAATCTTATCGTTACTAATGAACTTACGGGAGCTTCCATTCTCGTATCCGAGTTCGTCATCTGTCCACGAGGATTCATGTCTTTCATAGGGAAAGAATCTCCTCTCTGAGAGGACTCTCTCTCTGGTGCATAACCAAGGAACTACAAGAATAATCACATTGAGAATATAAACGTGACAAAGAACGAAGAGAAAAACAAAAATAAAAACAAAATAAAAAGTGTCAACTTTAAAGAAACTCCACGCTTCATTATTACTCCTTGAAAAGCTTTATTAACAACCACGGAGAAGTGATCGATTTATCGTCGAATAAATTTCATTTATAATTTATATAGACAAATTAAATTATTCGTTCGTTAATTATTTGCGTAACTCGAACGACAAGAGCGAATTACAACGTGAAGAGTACGACAATGAGTATTTCCGTATTTTCGAGAGAGAAAAAGAAATTAAAAAAAAAAATAATAAAAATAAAAAGAAGAAAAGAAGAAAAAGGGGAAGAAAAACATTCGAGAATAAAATGTCAAAGTTTGATGAAAAACTGAGAAATCGCTATATAATTATTTTTACTTACGGTGAGTATCACGTGCGTTAAAACGTGAAATATGACGTAAGCAACCAAAATCCAATCGACCCATTCCGGAAGTTTGGCCTTGTTCAATCGTACAGCGAAAAATAGAGCGACGACTGCGAAAAGTAATTTCACGATTGTGCCGATCAGCCATTTATTATGGAAAAATGTGATGTAAAGGAATAAGGTAGAATGGAGGATTGAGAAGTGGAGTGCGAGAGGGGGGTAGGAAGAAGGGGTAGGGAGAGGGGGGGGTGATAAGGGGGGCAACTAGTTACCGTCTGGCAACGTAAAGCTGGACGATTTAAATTCAAAACTTACTCGCGCAAATCTGTGCCGCATTCCCGATGAACCAGTGGGTCCAATTGAAAAGTTGGCGCCTAGGTGCACCTGGTTCGGGCCTCATAGCCGCTATGAATGGTTGTATGAAACATAAAATCGTTGTGGCCAATCCAAGAGAGGCATGGAAAGTTTCGGTGCTCCACGTGCCGAGCTCAACGAATATAACGACGATAGCAATCAACGTCAGAATGCAGGTAATGCTATTCAAGAAGGTGTGCCACTTGAAAGAAAAGAAAAGAAAAGAAAAGAAAAGAAAAGAAAAGAAAAGAAAATTAAAGTAAAGTAAATAAAAGAATAGAGACGTCGTTTATCGTCTATTATTCTATGTAATCTTCAAAGACTTATTGGAATTTATTTAAAACTAAGAAAACTACCAAATCCATTGATATGATTGATAATTATTAAATTTTAATGTTAAACGATGAATGTATATTTCGCTTATAATTCATTGTAAAATTAAAAAATGATTATTCGATAGTTTCGACTTTAATAAAAGATTCTTTAAATAAACTTACAATAATGATGATCGATTATTCTAATAGTTATTTTAGATAATATATTTTAATAATATGATAAAACTAAATCAGATAGTTTTGATATTAAAATAAGATATTCTCGAAGAAAACTTACGGCAAACCAATGATCCTTTCCACACATTCTGGAATGAACCCAAGTTTGTTTGTAATATCTTGCTAAAAGTATAGCTATAGAAGTAGTACCCATCCATGCTACTATCATTAAGGAACCGTGAATATGAATCAACATGTTATTCGATGCAGTGAATGAGCCAACGTCGGATAACAATTTTGCTTCGCCCGTAGAATCATAAAGTAGGTCGTGATATCCTACGCCGTTGGCTAAAACACACAACAAGTGAAGAATGGGATATATAACGAGTAACGCGAAGAATATGACACGTTAATATTTTGTCAGGTCAGATTCAAGTGATTAAACGTAAACTTTAATACCTTTCACCTCGCTACCATGAACTAACAAAAGATAGTATGGCTTATTGACAAGATCGAATTTATGATCTTGTATTACAGTTATCTTGTCTCTCCAGAATTTACATGTTATTAGGTCATCATCGAGCGAAACTGATTCAAGTTGAACGGTACCTTGTTGCTGTAAGAGATTAGATCGTAATAAATAAAATAAACGAATGAATGAATGAATGAATGAATGAATGAATATATAAATAAATAAATAAATAAATAAATAAATAAATAAATAAATAAAGTCGAATATGTGTGTGTGTGTGTGCTGTTGAAAGATTTATAGCAAGGCTTAACACCTATTATTGATTCTGATATTAATTAAACAACATCTAATGAAGATTATTAATTATGCTAAAATAATTACCAAGCTCTGCCGCTCGTTACGCTTGTTAGGAGTATTCCATGACGTGTGTAATTTGATATCACTTCCCTCTATTGTACATTCCACTACACTGTCGTCACCCTATATGTATAATATACGAAAGAACGCATTTATAGTTATTAGAAAGAAGTAATAGAGGGGGGGGGAAGAAAGAAAGAGAGGAAAAAAAGAATCAAAAATTTACCTAGATGAATTAATTAGTAACGAAATAGGAAAATATATTTTCTTTTTTTCTTTATTTCTTTTACGATCAATTTCAATTACCATTTTATTATTTTCCGAGAGTCCAACGGCAACGTATTTTCCTTCTCGTCCTTGCATCTCGAAGAGATATCGGTCTCCACGGACTAATACGGAGACAGCAATTTTACAGTTCTTTGTCTGTAGACAGCCAAAAGGCAATCCAAAGCAATTCTTTGTCTCGCTACATCCCTCATAAAAGGGGTCGTCTTGATTAGTAATCTGTAAGATATTCATCAATGAGTCCACTACCACGCTCGAAAAAAAAATGAATGTAAAGAGAAAGAGGGACAGAGTATTTTCTAATATTTCTTAATATCATTCCAAATTAATGAAAAATGGACAGATGCAAAATATGAGTAACCTCTTCAGGAACAACTTTTTACAAGTGAGAAAAAGACTCGTTCAGTTTTTATCTGATACAATATTATCAGTAAATTGTACATTATTATTATTATTATTATTATTATTATTATTATTATTATTATT